GGAAAAAAATGGCGCAAAATTGTGAAAACGCGATCACATTGTAAAGCATCCTCGAGGAACTAATGATGGGTCCGCAGGTTATCGATGGATTTGTAGAAGAGAGAAGAGATGTTGAAAATATTTTACATCCAGAGCGATGAACAATTGAGCAGTTCTGGAATTACTACTATTGGCGATCGAATTCGTGTAAGAGAAATGGTCAAATTCAAAACCAAGAGAAGTTCAAACACCAGTGGCAAATTTAAGGGCAAGCGGTAAATGTAGTCTTCCCGACTCCCGACGGTCTCAGATTTAGGATTTTTAGCGATTTCCTTTTATTGTTGCACAGAATTTATTCAAATTTTTCATAACATTTTCTAGGTTTAAATGAATTCATTAATGCATGAAAACTTTAGGAGACATGCGTTTTTATTACTGAATCAGCAGTATGACTATCACCTGCCAAAAAGCTGCAAATCTAGTACTCTATTATAAATGTTAAAACCCAAAACGGACACCGATGTTTTTGGTAAAATCTCGATTAAAAATATATTTTTAAAAAAAACCTCATTTACATACTATAGATAATTTGTACGCACAAAAACTTTTATATATTTTCTTATTTAATTTAAAGTTATGCTCATTAATTATCGATACATAGCGATGAGCGGAGACGTGAGGTTTCGTAGATCATTAAATTGATATTTTTTGGGAAGATAATTGGCGGTATTAAAAAATATGAACATATTAATTTTCATTAAATCCATAACATGAAAATGACCTTTAAAGTCTGTTGCCTTAAGAATTTCAATCATATAATTTTTTAACATGTCAATGGAGACGATAATCACTTATCATTAAAAGCTTTATTGAAGCAGTGTTAGATTAATTTCCTAATCACCTGATACAGTGAGAGTGAAGAGTGAAGAGATACTCTGTCAGTCTGTCAAATAAAAAAAATAATTCTGTATGGTAAACTGCTGCTAAATCGAAGCTATTGACAAAAAAGCTATTTGTGCTTTTACAGTAATTAAGTTACAAAAGTACAATCACCTTAAAAAATAAAAAGGGGGGCTCCGAGGTAGAATCATGTCAACGTCGTAGAGCCCGGCTGTGAACATGATGTGACAAAGAGTTCTATTAGTACATGTATACAAGTAAAAGAAAGAAAATATGTGGGTGTTTTTGTGCATACAAATTATCTGGCATGTAATTGAGGTTTTCCTTTATTTTATTATTATTTTTTTTAATTTTACTTCATTTTCAAAATTGTTGTTTTTAATTGCGATTCGGTTTCCGTTTTTGGTTTTCAAATTTATAACAGAGTTCTAGATTTACCGCTTTCTGGCAGGTGATACATCTGGTTCAGTAATAAAGACACAAATTTGTTAAAGTTTTTATGTACGAATGCATTCATTTAAACCTCGAAAATGTGCTTGAAAAGTTTGAATAGTTTCTGAGCACCTTGAAAAAGAGAAATCGTCAAAAATCAAAATTAAATCCGGGATCGTCGGAAGTCGGGAAGACAAGATTTACCGCTTGCCCCTTTAACGCCACAGGTGTTTGAACTTCTCTCGGGCTTGCATTTGATCATTTCTCCGAGAATAATTCGATCGCCACTAGTAGTAAATTCAGAACTGCTCAATTATTCGTCGCTCTGGCAAGCAAAAAATATTATCAACATCTATTATCTCTTCTACAAATCTATCGATCACCTGCGGACCCATAATGTTGAAGTATCATCATATAATGACAAAGTAGTAGCATTATAATGACAAGTAGTAGCATATAATGACAAAGTAGTAGCATATAATGAAAAGTAGTAGCATATTATGACAAAGTAGTAGCTTATAATGAAAAGTAGTAGCATATAATGACAAAGTACCATCATATAATGACAAAATACCATCATATAATGACAAAGTACCATCATATAATGACAAAATACCATCATATAATGACAAAGTACCATCATATAATGACATCATATAATGACAAAGTACCATCATATAGTGACAAAGTACCATCATATAATGACAAAATACCATCATATAATGACAAAATACCATCATATGATGACAAAATACCATCATATGATGACAAAATACCATCATATAATGAAAGTTCTCCACATAAGGCAGTGACGGCGTTCCATAAAAAGCATTTTGTAGAGGTACATAATCGGCATATTGTTTTTAAAGAACTTAAGGGGGGAGACTATAGTTATATTGTGTGAAAACTACAATAGCGAAACTCTTCATTTTTATTTATACCATACATAACTTACATTAACTTCAGTGTACATGCAAATTTTGGGGGAAATCTACCGTCTAGGTATTTTTGAGGGAACGTCTCAAAATACAGGTACATTTACTATAGGATACGAAATTGCCAATTTTTAGCACTTTAAAGCAAATTATACCAATACTACAATAGACATTTTGTTCAAACTATAATATTTGATGAGTAATACTATATTATACGATATATGTAAGAAACACAAAATTCTACCGTCTTGTTACCAGAGGGGTCATCTAAAAATGCAAAAAATTAGCAAATTTTACTATTTTATAGAGTATTACAAAATATGACGTACACAATGAATTCACATGAAAACATAATAAAGATATTGGAGATATTTTATAATTTCTATGTTTTAAATTTCAAGAGCGTTTGTTTATTACTTTTTCTTTAATAATATATTTATTTCCCCTTTCTTTAAGAGCTACAGATTATCATAACGTCAAAAACACACTGCAAGACATCAACCTATCTATCAATTGCAAAATCGTTAAAAAAATCAGTTATATCAAATTGTAATCACATTCTTATACCTATAATTTCTTAATTTTGTTTAATTTTAATAATTAAGTGAAAAAAGTTGCATTAAAACAGTAAATACGCTTCATTTTATGATGATGCGCAATGGAAACTATAGTCGGCCCCCTTAAACTAAAGAAATACATATATATGTTCCCTTCAGCCTTGAAAAACCGTTTTATTTTCAATTGAGTACTTTTTATATAAAAAAAAACAACAACAAAAAATATTTTGGAAAAAAACATACTTTTTTATGTTACTGGTTTAAAAAAGACGTTAAACGTTAATGCGTTAATGATTATATCTTCTTGACCAAAAACACCTTGTGATAAACATGATGACTTCAACTTTTCGGTACTCAATTTCTTTTACTTCTTAATCAATGAATTTTAAACCTTATCTCCTGCCTATTAAGTTTACGTCTTCAGCTTATTCGATACTCGATACACATGAGCATAAGAACAATTGTTGGTTGATGAAACAATTATATTAACAACAATATTAAAAGTCAACATTTACATGTAGATAGTTCTGAGGTCAATAAAATGACCTTGATATCTAATACAATCCATTATTAAGTCGAAAGCTATTTAACGTCTAAAAACTTATTGTAAGACCATTATTTACAACTGAATTGTCTACCGGTTTTTTCTGTTTTCTTGTTCATGACAAGGATCATACGACGGTTGATCTTTTCTCCTCCATTTCACATTATTTTTAAGAGGCCCACTCTTATTATAATTATTTAAATGGACTTTTGAACTTGATAACTGTGCATTTTCTACGTTTTCCATTTAACCATTAATACATTTTGACTAAATTTGTCTTTCGTAAGTTTTGTATACCCCGTTATTGAATATTTGAACATTTGGGGGTGTACAGTTTTGCTCTGTTCATCCACCTGTCTGTCTATCTGTTTGTCCACAAAAACTTAAGCATTGTCCATAAATTTTGATGCAGGGATTGAATTAAGCCATGATTCTCACATTTACAAGTGTATTTCTTGTGACAAGATCTATCTTTGGGTCAAACATATTTGACGTCATGGCATTGACATTGTTTGACGCAATTTTGCAAGAGTTTACCAAAGCTCTAACCTTGGCCATAACGTTTGAACAAATGATTCTAGGACATTCATAATTCACATGTGTATTACTTATGATAAAACCGTTTCATGGAAAAAAAAATATTCTTGACATTTTGAGCATGACATACAAGTTTTACCCACTTTAAAAAAATTAATATCGAGAATAACTTTTAAACAGTTAGTACTATATCATGTGTTCTATAGTTCTACATCATGTGACAAGACCTTCCTTTTGGATACAAACAATTTTAACCTTTTGACTTTGACCTTGAAAATAACTTTGAACAATCAACGTTGCTGCTACAGCTGTAAGGCTTTCATATTTTACAGGTATATTCATTGAGAACAAGTCCTTTCTTTGGGTAACAATATTTTTATAACTTGACTTGGAGTTTGACCTCTTTTCCAAAAACTGTCATACGGGGGTATCTGTGTTTAACAAATACACCTTCTTTTCATACAAAAAGTTAATTTCATAATCTTTTATTATTGCATGAAGGTTTGGATATTGAAGATGCAATGTATATACAATGTCAAACAGTTTTTCTTGCGAAATATAAATCTAAGAATGTCTTTGATTGAAATATAAGACAGTTCAAATTATAGAATGTAACACATGGTACGCACACATTCCACTGATATTATGTTTATCTTCAAATTATTACTCGATGACTATTTTCTTTGTTACATGTACCTCTATTATTCTTGTCAGAGGTATCAAATACTTTGTTTTAGGTTGCAATGAAACTTTTTATGGAAGAAACTGTGATCAACACTGCTCGACAGAATGTATTGAACAAAGATGTAACATCAAAAATGGAACATGCTTAAGTTACCCGCGTGGATGGATAGGAAAGGCATGCGAAGAAAGTAAGAAAATCGCGACTAGCTTTTACTATTTTGTTTTTGAATGTCTTATTGCTTATATTATTTTATGTATATAATTAAAAATTGTTTATGCATTTCTTTAAACTGGAAAATAGATATACATTCTTTTTGTTTAAAAGAGTGTCCAAGAGGATGGTATGGGGTTGGTTGTTCACAACAGTGTGTAACCCATTGTATAAATAATGAGGTGTGTAATTATATGACCGGTCGTTGTGACAATGGGTGTGCTGATGGATGGATCGGAATTTATTGTGAAAAATGTAAGTACAATAAACTTGCCGTTTCTAATGCACATTATCATCTTTATTTTTATCCAAGGGGGCCGACTGAGATTTCTATTGCACAATGCTTCGCGCATCATAATAAAATGAAGCGCATGTACACTTTAAAGCGACTTTTTTCACTTAGCTATACTGTAATAGATTTTCACGAAGATAAAACATAATTATAGGTTAAATACTTTTAATTACAATTTTATACAACTAAATTTTAACACCGTTTTTCAACCGAAAGCAGATTGACGTATTAATAGTGTGTTGTAACTTTATGAAAAACTGAAATTCTAGAAGATTGGGTAATGACAAATGTTACAAAAAGGACGTTAAAACATTTGAAATTTTAAACATATATAAAAGTGAGAATCTCAGAACTATTTTTAGTATTATTTTTTTGTTAGTATCCCTTGTTTTTGTCCCATTTTGTAGTTCTCTATAAAAAGTAAAATTTCGTTAATTTTAACAGTTTGAAATGCCCCCTCGAAAAACCAGAGGATTTTTGTCTTACATATAATGTACTATACATTATATCTCATCACACTTAAATTTAAACAAATAATATATTTTAGTATTTTTTAAAAAAAATTCCTCTGAAGAGTGAAAAAATGGCACTTTCCCAAATAATCCAATAGTAAATGTATCTATATTTTGAGATGGTCTCTAGGAAATATTTAGACGGTAGATTTCTCTATACTAGGCATGTGCACTGTAGTGAATGTAAAATACATACTGTATAAAATTAAATTTCTGTATTATAGATTTCAAACAAAAATACACCAGTCGGCTTCCTTAAATATCTTAATGTCATAATCGAATGTTGGTTGAATAATGGTTTGTTATAACATATACATGGCGACTGTTAACAGCATGTATATATGGAAGCTATGGCCCTGGTTGTGCATATAACTGCAGTGGTCACTGTCTTAATGACACCTTCTGTAACAAACAAACTGGACACTGTGACGCAGGGTGCGAACCGAGCTATACAGGAAATTTATGTAACAAAAGTAAAGGGAAAAACATTAATTAAAAAAATGTCATTTAAAGGATTATAACAAATATTAAATTTTTTTGTCAAAGATTTTTTTTCCTTTCCTAAAATGCATTTCTGGACTTTTTGGACCAAACTGTACGGAACACTGCAGCCAGAACTGTTGGAATGATGAGATCTGTAACCACATAGACGGAGTATGTACAAATGGATGCAAGAATGGATATATTGGAGAGAAATGTAACTAAAGTAAGAAAAAGACTGCTGCAATGAATCTTAGTAATGGTCATGTATTAGACCCTTAAGCTGGGTAAAGAGCAAGAGGCATCTTATGCATAAAATGGCCCTGTACTTATATAAATTAATTAACTATCACCCTCTTTCCCATTTCATATATCGAAAAACGTAGACACTTGGTGCTTTCATTTTCTATAATAGGATTTCGTTTTGAGAATCCAGATATTGAAAAACAGGTTGGAGAAATTGCAATGTTCTTGAAATTTGCAGAAAACATGCATATTTGACTACCTTCAGCAAAGAATTAAAATATGAGCACAGCCCACGATCCAAAAACTAAAACTTTTTTTGGATCTTCAGAAATATAGAAATAGAGCTTTCATTATTTATTTGCATTTTTTGGATCAGAGGTTGTGCTCTGTATGAGATATTGAAAAAATGCTTCAACTTAAGGTCATTTTTAAATGAATTTACAGGATATGAGGGAAATGACGCATTTTATGACGTCATAATATATTGACTAGTTAGGAAATTACGTCACGATTAATAGATACGTGGTCACCAACACTCCAAGTGATAAATTCTGCATTTGCAACCTAAACCGAGCGGTTTTGATTTTTCAAAAAATCGCAGGGCCAAATAAGGCCCAAAGTGGTTCTTGCTCTTCCAGCTTAATTTTATCCTTTGTCGTTGATCTTTTACTGCACTTTTCTCCAACTTTTTTTTTCTTTGGTTAATGGCGATAAACCCTAGTTCTCCCCATAATTGGAGCTATTTTTTGGAGCTTCGCTCTAAGTTCTCACATGGTACGATCTGTACTCTCATCTTTTTATTTAAGGCTCCTAAACATTCACTTAATAAAATGTTTGATTCGATTAAGTAATGTTGTGAATTCTGTTAGATATAGATGAACATTTTTACTGGAATATTTGATAATTATTATTCATAATAAAATTCATAAAAATTAAAGTCTTTTAAAAAATATCGGTACATGTAATAGAGAACATTTTATTCCAGTTTGCTATTGTTATTTTACATTTTTTATGGCAAAAGGCAAAACGACGGAAGGACAAGCACACTTCACCAATCAATTTATATATTTTTCTTTCAGAGTACTTTAATTTTCTTTTTTTTTCTTTGAACACTTGATTGAAAAATAATTATCACAATAATATATTTTAGCCTGTGACCATGGATATTTTGGAAGAAATTGTTCTGGTGTTTGCTCTCAGAAATGCATCAGTCTATGCGAGCTCAAAGACGGATTTTATGACTGTGTCCATGGTTGGAAAGGCTTAAATTGCAGTGAAGGTACGTTAAACTCAAGCGCACCGGAGCACAGACACACACACACACACACACCCTCACACACCCTCACACACACTCACCCTATACATATGAATCGTTACTATTTGATAAGAACAATAATACTTTCCTTGTAAAATGATTAGGTCCTTCGGATGGATAATTATAATACTAGCTGAGGTATACATGTACGTGGATAAAATGTAATGCTACTTTTGCTTTAGTGTAGTTTACTCTGAGATTAACGAACGATTCAAGCCAAAATATTTTCAAAATATATTTACATGATCAATATAAATATAGTTACAGGTTTGTACAGATACTTACAATAACAAAATTTTATACTCTCTTTTGATATTTAGAATGTCCTTTCGGAAACTACGGAATAAACTGTGAGGGGAAATGTAGTTTACACTGTGGATTTAACGACACGTGCGATATATACGAGGGAACTTGTCCACGGGGATGTCAAGAACCCTACACAGGATCAAACTGCTCACAGCTGCTAAGTAATTCAAATTAAAAAAAATCATAATTACATTACGTTCTTTTTCAGAGTGAAAACCAATTACAGCTGAGCCTCATGTATCCGGACGCTTTGGTTCCTAGTCAAGTTGTCTGCATATGTGAAGCGTCCGGATATCTGAATGACCAGTTAAATAAGATAAATAAATGTTAAAAAATTCCGTGCCGATGAAAAGTCGTCCGGATACTGAAGAATCCGGATATCTGAAATTTCACTGTATAATATCTTTATTTAAAGTATTTTTGTTCCTCTTCTCGTTAATTTTTTTAATCATTTTTTTGTTCTGAAATAAAATCTTTCAAATCCTTTGTAGAGTTGTTCAAGCTGATTTGATATAGAGCAGCAACGACTATATAATTTTTGATTCCTTCATACATGTAACAGACTAGTTATAGAAACATTTTTTTTATTAAGGTGACATCCTTCATCCGATATCTACCAGAGATTCCACTCTTCCCATTCCCATGCCCTGCTTTCTAGGAATCACTCTGTCTGGAGTGCTTAACTTGTGTCTAATGCTAGGAATGTGTTATAAGCTGCAGGTATTTTTTTAAAAACATAATTATCTTTTTACGATTCACTCTTTTATGATGCAAATATTCATATGTTTGTTTTCTAAAACTGTACAACTGTAATGGTAAATTGTTTTCACAATCAACTGCAACACATTTTCTTTTTCTTTAAGGGCGTGCTCAAGGAAAAAGTGTAACACTGTTTCTTCTCAAAACATCCAAAGTTCCAGCTACATTAGCAATGAAAGAGGAATCACTTCGTATGAAATACACAACTATCAAGAATTAAGAAATTCCAAAGAAGAAATCCATTATCAAGAAATTACTTCAATTTGAATTGTACTACAATTGCCAAAATATTTTTTTGTCTCACCACACTAACCCTTACCTTAAACCTGTGACTGAGATATACCTAGGTTGTCGGGGTATTAAGTGGACAAAATGTATAGAGTGAAAAATATTTAACATATTTATCTTAATATATTTATTTATTTCATTCCATTTGTAGATATATATTAATAATTAATAAAATAATACTTTTTTGAAACTACTTTATCATTCATTTACCACAGTATATCGTTATTTTTATTTAATTATTTAATTCACTGGAAAAAATATATTAGTATTTTGAAAGCATAGGTTTCAGAATTACTTAGTATATTTTAATCATCATGCTTGAAATTTATTGCACTTATGATGAGCAAGGGCGCCTTTTTCAAAATTCTTTATTCCTTATCCCTGGCATCAGATGTTTTTGGGTTGGGATCTGTTTAAGGGATAGTGGAAATGAATTTGTTTCTTGATAAAGTCTACTTTTGTGCATGGTAACATGTATTATAAGCAGGTATTCATTTATAAAAAATGGAAAGTTCATATGGCCCCTTGGTCACTGTTTCGGTGGTGCTCTGTAGTGAAAAATGCAATACCGCTTTGACATTCGTTTCTTTTCCTGGGTATTGATCAAAACAGGATAAAAACGAATAAGCAAGGATCATTTTACCAGATTTGTGAATTCATGGAGCTCTGGTGCTAAGCAGCATTTTTTGAAATTGTAGAGAAACGTGTACTCCACTGAGAGAAGTTATTCCCCTTTTCTATTCATCTTATATGATAATTAATTACTGCAATCGATGTACAATGTAAATAAAAGATTAAACTGCTTAAAAGAAAGAAAGAAAAAAAAACAATAATAATGTGTAAGAATACAAGAAAAAAATCATTTACAGTTTGTAATGGTCATGTAGATATGAAAATGATACAAAAAAGTAGATAAGATTAAATAACTGTAGACAATTACTGTAGTTTATTAATATATACACAATGTATTTTTGCATTTACGAAGCATTTGAAAAATGCAGATATCTTACTGCACATGTTTTCGAATTTGCTTTCCATCACTTCAAGCATTGCTTTAGTCTAGATCTATTTCGGATACCATCAATCGCCGATGGAAATTCGAAAATTGCAGACTGATGTAGCCGACACTAATGGCCACGGAGCAGTGAGAGATTTTCCACCATTTTCGATCCTTTACTGTATACGTAATTCGGTATCTGTTTAAATCAAAAGTTTCCCTTATTATAAAGCAAAGGACTATTCCCTATTTCTGAATCCACAGGGTAATGATAAATTCTTTATTCATTCCAATGGAATACTCAAGATAATTTATCTAAACAAATATTTTTGTACATATATGTTATTTTAACTTGTCAGGTCTCAGATGTGCCGATATGTTGTGATTACTATCATTGAATTTTAAATCCTCATACAACTGCCTACAATTATGCAGGGAGAGATTTTTTTTGCAAGCACCTACTGCGACACGAGACCTCGGTTTATAAGTCTCATCCGAAAGACCTGTCTCCAAATCACAAAGTAGGATTTGAAAGGTCAGTGACCTAGTTTGGGTGAAAAAATCTTAGGTCACAGATGCAGTAATTGAGAAAGATTGATTACTCTTGCCATTCAGGTATATCCCTCTCAACACAATGTTCCTTGATAATTTTGTGCTCCATATTATAGCCTCACAATTTTAGACAATGTCTAATTTAAAGTGCTTTGGTATATATCGAAATATATTTAATGATGTCAAATAAATGATTTTTTAAGACAAAGAACACCAATTAATTGAGTTTTTACCTACGTAAATAATATTTCTGTATACCCTGAAAACTACTAACAATGCTAATTGTAAAAGTAAAAAATTGTCGTGCGCCGACCACCGATATTTAACCGCATCTAAATGCTTTTTCTGATAAAATTATGCACAGGGCATTACAGGCTTATAATATTTTTTACAATTACGAAAAGATCATTTTCCAACTTCATGCAAAAATTATTAGTTGTAGTAGAATAGTATTTGAAATATTCAGAAACCTCGCATATACCCAATAATACCAGACATATCTGGTGCCGCGTGTGGACGTATTCACAAGCAAGGTATATTATGTCTTACAAACAAGGTATATTTAAGGAATCGCTGTCTAGCTAGTACAGTATGCCATTGACATCAACGATAGTGAGAAACATGGGATAATTTATGCATAACGGGCTTATCCCATGTTTCTCACTATCGTTGATGTCCTTGGCATACTATACTAACTAGACAGTGATTCCTTATTTTTCCATTTCATTGAGAAATAAAATTGTATATTTAGACTTTAAAATGCAGACATAGATTTCAATTACAAGAGGACTCGCATGGCAATTTCAGTAGTCCTCGCCCACTGACGTCAAACACAAAGGCAGCCGCACAAGATTTACATTCATATTTGGCCTTCTTAGCTCCTGACCTATCGTCGTGCCTAATTTACATTCCGGCAGAATTATTAAGAAATCAACTCCTCTTACTTCCAAAGAGTTATCACAGAGAGAGAAAAATAGAAATGGAATAATAATGTCTTAAATCTCCTGCATGTCAGACGGTTCCGCAATTAAACTAACATCCAAGTTAAACTCCTTGGTAAACAGCAAATCATCAAATGTGTTCAAAAGTGTTTACATTACATTAAACATCTGATAAAGGTATGTCATGTGTAAGACCGAAAACGACTGTGCTATGAAAGCAAGATGTGTTTGTGAACACTGTACCCCCGAGGGGCAACAAAGCAAATATTAAACTTCGCAGCTAGGTTAAGGACTACCAAGGGTATCGTCGTGTACCCTAAATTCGTCCGTACCTAAAATCGTGCAACCTTCTAGAGACCAGCATGTTTCGAACTTTGTATCGATGACGTCATTTTTAGTTGTTATGATTACTGAACACAATGATGCAACTGTTTTAGCAATTATTTTTTAGAATTTGCAGTTAAAACTAGTATTTAATCTAAAGAAAATAAAAAATACTTAAAATATCTGATTTTTCCTTTGGTCCATTTTTTTTTATTGAAAGTGTACACGGCAGTTACGTTTCCCAAAATTACTTCCAGATCAAATATACCTTCATTTATATATTTTTATACCTGCCAGTGTATTTGATTACGTGCATGGCCTTTCAATTTAAGAATTTGATAAAAAGAAATCAACGCTCCAAAAGAATCAAGATCGTATACACTAGGATATTGACGTTACCCGTGTTTGGTTGACATACTAGGCGGCAATGCGGGTATCTGTAATTATTTAGGGGAAAAATCTAAGTCATCACTGCAAATGAGAGTCTCCAAAAATCAAAGATTTTAACAGTCACTTTGACTAACAGCCGTGGATGCTTCCAACAGTAGAAGTTCTGTTACTACAAATTAAAACAATTTATACTTATAACTGTGTTGCTGATTTTCCCTTTTTTGTGTGTGTTTTGTTTTTAATAAGTTTTATATAATCGAGATTTTTTTCTATACAGGAATATGTTATTGAGACGGAAAATAAATAAAACAAATTATATTATATCAAAAATATTTACAATATGTTTTATGAAGTACAGTATCAATACAACTGTTAATTACTCTAGAAGTTGATGTAAGAACAAGCCTGGTTTTTTGGCATGACTTCGCCTTTATTAACCACGTGAAAAGGGGAGATGGTATTGTTTCATGATAATAATGATTAGGGAGTATTCATTAATTAATACAAAATACTGTTACATCCCCCTTTCTTTAAAATGTTAAGTTTGCAGATTTCTGTTAATTCTGAAACTTTACTGTCTTTGAATTATTGTCCATTTCAGTGTTTGATTGATTGATTGTATATTGTTTAACGTCCCTCTCGAGAATTTTTCACTCATATGGAGACGTCACCGTGTGCCGGTGAAGGGCTTAAAATTTTGACCTTTACTCGGCACTCAGGGCCATTGAGCAGTGAGGGATCTTTATCGTGCCAACGCCTGCCGCTGACACGGGGCCTCGATTTTTAAGGTCTCATCCGAAGGACCCGCAACTTTCACTTCAAAGTGCCGAGCGTATGGCGAAGGAACAGTTGCTACCAATTTTAACATAAGGTCAGTCGCGGCCGAGATACGAACTCACGACCTCCCCATCACGGAGCGAGCGCACTACCGACTGAGCTACCGTGAACGTTTTTCAGTGTTTGAAGACCATGGTCAAATTACTATTTAACTTTAAACAAAAAAGATTGTGTATATTCAGCATGCAACATTACATCATGGAATGAGAAATTAGTTTTGATTAATGACAATCAAGACTGACAATTAAATAATGAAATGCAAGGCTATTTGCCCTGTTAGGGAGACTAGGGATTATTATGCCCTCAACACAGTCTTCCTTTGCAAAGTAAACATACAAACAGTCTTAACTAAACAAATACAATGTAATGATTAACATGAAGTTCTAAGCTAAACTTAGAAATAGGTAGACGAGGAGTTATTATTACCTCTTTCACTATCTACCTATGCCCTACACATCACGATAACGCATTTGTCTCACAACTACACGACCACTACGTTTCTTCATCGGACTTGAAGAGACTGGTTGCTTTGGACGCTGAACAGGTACGGAATCTAGTGTATTGCGTAGTTCCAATGTTGGTGGAGGTAGTGTTGGTTCACTGCTGCCTATTATAGGAACTGGATCATCATTGCACTGTGATTGGTCAGTTAGAGGTTCAGGCTTTGCATTTTCATGATCAGGATGAAACGGTTCTCGACTAAATAGGAGATGACGTTGATTGCGTCTGTATACACGTGAAAAAATGAGTTTTTCCATCCTTTTTTCATTTCCTTTGGGTCTGATGCGAACTATATTCCTTTCTGCTAAGGGTTTTAGTTTCTTAGCTCCTGGATTATAGTAGTGTGTCTGATGTTCCTTGCGTTCAAAGAGTTTTTCCCTAGTGCGGTCAACATAACGTGGTCTGAGTAGATGTTTTGCTACTGGTAATAGCGTTTTAGTGCTCCTACCAAAGATTCGTTGTGCAATTGAGTAGTCTATTCCTTGAGTAGACGTATTGGCGGTATTGCGTAGATCAAGGAGCGTCAAGAATGAATCTTTTCCGCCCATTGCACACTTGTGAATGAGTCGTTTGGCAATTTTTACAGAGTTCTCTGTCTTGCCATTATGTTTCGCATATCTTGGCGATGATGTAACATGCTCAAATCTGTAACCTTTACTGAACTTTGCAAACTCTCGGCTTCCAAATGGCGGTCCATTGTCTGATATTACTCAATCTGGAGTTCTATGACGTGCGAGTTGCGATTTCATCATGTGAATGATTGAACTTCCTGTTTTATTATGAAGTCTTTCCACCTCAAAGTAATCTGAATAATAGTTTGCGAGTATGAGGTAATCTTTGCCTTCACATTCAAAAAGATCACATCCTATGGTTTGCCAAAGACGAGCAGGAATCTCATGGCTGATCATAGGTTCCCTCTGTTGATCATCCTGGTAAGTATTACATGCAGCACGTTAACCAAGGTTTGATTCAATGTCATTCAATGACATATTTGGCCAGTAGACATAGTCCTTGGCACGATAGATACACCCTTGGATACCGATATGAGTGTTATGTATACGCTGTACAATACTATGTGTGATAGATTTCGGTACAACAACTCGCTCGGCCTTGTAGATGACACCATTCTGAATAACTAACTCCTCTCTAAATGGAAAATACACTTGTATATTCAGGGTAGACTTCCTTTGACGAGTCCGGTCATCCCTTAAGTATGATCTTCTTCAAAAACTGTAGAGAGTCATCCCTGTCTGTAGCTTCCTTTATCTGTGAATATCATTCCTCAGATATTGCTAAGTAGGTGCGGTGGTTGATGCTGTGTATGTCATGCGTGTTCTCTCCGACTGAATCAGAGTCAGTTATAAGGCCCTACTTAACCTGATAGAAAATATTTAATCTTTTGGAAAGTTGAAAAATTGTGCCTTATTTGCTTTACACATAATGTTTGAAATCTAAGTTTGTTCACAAATATTAGAATTTCATCACTGAAAAATGAATTAAACATTTCCACAGTTGATATATCTGAATAGTTTTTTCCTTTGATGTTTCAGGACCAGAATTGAAATAACAAGCAGGGATAAAACTGCACCTTTCGATCCACTGAATTATTACTTGAAGATACAGCAATGTGACAGAATGGCAGAGATCCATCGTTTAGTCACATATCAGTGAACTTTCAGTAACTTTCAGTTATCGATCAGTGAATGGAACAGCTTTATTCTGTAAAGGTCTATTATCGGTTATTCCTAATGGACACCTTTCTCAATAAAGATCAATAATGCCTTTTAAACCCATTACATGTTCTGCTGACATTGGATCTGGGTTAATACGTTTTAAAGACTGGTTTTCAAGTCCCGGCAGTGATATTCGAACCCGTGATCCGAGCTAACATACTCTGAAATTTATTTTTATCTGCAAACCTTTAATTACTGAGTGTTGTTTGTCCATATTTGTAATTTTTTTTAAATTATTTACTATCATTATCCAAGTGTCATTTCTTTAATGCACACTTGATCTCAGCTCTAAATATTTGGAGGCACATGTTTCCTCTGCTCCTATTTTGTATTGTTTTATGGACTTTGAGCTTGTTTACTGTTCGTTACCTCCATATATTTCATACAAGAAATTACAACAGACTATTGAGTAAATGTAATATCTGTCTTCTTTGCGCTTCTTAAGAATCATTTGTGAAGAAAAAGAGGACAAATTAATGAAGAGAAACCAATTTTACCATAATTACTTTAGTAAGATACTTTTTGGGATAGTATGGAAGATATTTATTGTCAAAGTTTCAGAGGAGAAAAATATCAAAGAATTATCAACCTGTTACATGATATCACTATCCTCCAAAGAAAACAATGTCTGCCTAAAACCGGTATTATGTGCAAGAATTTCAAAAAATAAATCTTTTTATCATTGAACATATACCCATTTTAATTTGGAAAAAAGCCCAAAGAATATCACAATGAAAATGTGTCATGCTATAGTTCAGAAATCAACGGTGTACTTGACATACATTTCCTCAATCTTACAATATTGTATACCGTGAAGGTTGTGTTGTAAATAATGTTTTCAGATAATAGGACACAACACCATATTAATACTTTCATTTCATTTAAAACTTCCTGGAGATCAATTTATATTTTCAATTTCCTTAGAGAGTTCATTCTTATAGCAAAATGAATTATAAATCAATAAGTGAAGTTCTTCGGATATTTATTTTAATATCAAGATTCGTTCCTTTCTATGCTTACGGTAAGATCTAAAAATGAATGTTAATGCAGTAATACTCAGTCTGAGTTATGTTAAGGAAAATAGAGAGACACAATTAAGGTTAACTTTTCACCTATAATTTTCTAATTATCTGAACAAGATGTGTTTGTAAAACACTAAGCACCCGGGGGCAGCAAAATCAGAAAAAGCTATTTTAGCAAAATGTCACATTCAAGGTGACAAAGTATTTGACCTTGGTGTCATTTGAAAGAACTAATTCAATGGAGTATACATAATAGATATGAAGTCTCTATCTCTCATGGTTCAAAAGTTATGGCGAAGATAAAGTTGACAACAGACAGACACAACTGAGAGACAGACAAACAGACAAGACAACAACAATATACGCCTTGGATCTATTAATCCGGGCGCATAAAAATCTTCGTTTTATTACTCTTTTGATCCCTAAAAGAAATATAGAAAATTTTATTCACTTCTTCAAAGCTGATTAATGTTTAAGTTTAACAGTTCTATATTCATTTGCTCCCCCCTAAGTGGGTATATTTCTATGAAGTAAATCTTTGAAAAAGGCAAACATGTCTTTATTCAATTTATGAGAATTTTACGTGGATAGTGTTATCTATAAAACCTTCCTTTTAATCTTTTCCTTCTTGTGTTATAATTTACAAGACCTTCACAGAAGATTACAGTCCATATACACGTAAATATGTACTGCAAAAATATAAAACATGGACCACAGCGCTTTGTCATTTTGAATATGACAGATGACTGGATATTTTCCCCTTTGTATCTAAATCTAAATCTATTTCAGCTTGTAATAAACCCCTGCTTGCTCGAGGGACTCAGGGCCTCACCAAACGCCATGCACTTTACATTTACTCTCTTCATTGCGTGAAATAGTATTAACCGAGAAACTTTATAATTGAACGCAATTTACTATTTTTCATTTACTTGTGAAAATAATTTTTCGAAATAATTTCATATTAAATTCCTCTGCCAATGACACCTGATCCAAAGGATGGTGTTAAACAGATTTGTGTTTTTTCTGCTGATTTTGTGTTAGGTGACCCATAATCTTGAATAATGTTCGTTGCTTCATATTTAATACATTTTACTCTTTTTGTACCCCGCTATCCCAGGGATATATGATTTTTTTTTTTTACCTTTTTTTATCTTCAAAAATTTAATTTTTTTTAATCAAACACAAGTTGGTATGGTCGTTTCATCATGTGCCACAAATTGCCAAAAAATGCGTTTGTCAAATTTTACATTGTCTCAAACTTTTTTTTTTAATTTGACTATGAATTCAATGAATCTAAATACGTTTTCAAGATTCATAAAAGAAATATAGGACTCAGGATCACTCAAAAGTTCATTATACTTAAGCACACAGGTTAAGACAATACTTAGATCATTATTTTTTGCACTAACATTTTTACACCGGTCACGAAAAGCCACGGATAACACTTTTTATCATCTAAAATAAAAAAGAAAATTCGATTACATTTTATTTGTCAATAAAAGCTGTAAATATGTTTTACATTGATAGACTTTTTATAAAATATATATGTACAAATTTTGATAGGATAACTGCATTTAACGCTGTACTTTGGTTTTTTTTTTTTCGTTCGCTTCTGTTGCATTCAAATCTTGACCTAAGTTCACTTTTACATATCTACTACAGATTTCTGTCAATTAGACACCCAATTTAAATGTCAAAAATGATTTTTGACTGTTATATTAAAACTTATTTTAGGTTTTTGTCCTTACGATTTTCCAATAAAAGTCGTTTACACATATCTGCCCTTTGTTGAACATTATGTATGTGTGAGAGGCAGAATTGGTAAGAATGGAACTAAAATTAGCCTGGATGAATAACAATGACTTGAATTAAAAATACGAGATAAATAATTTACGGCAAGCGTGGGTCTCCGAATGGAATTGCGCCCGCTCCTCGGCCATTCTATTAGGAGACGTTCATAAAGTTGTATCGTTTTTAAATTCATCCACGCTTTGCTTTTCAATATTACAGGTATGGTAAAATGTTTTATTTAGTTAATTTATTTTTCTTAGAATTATAAAGAAATTGTTAATTTATCATTTATTAACATTTACCATTAATTTCTGAACTTTACAAAATTTGAGCTTTCATATTTTAATATTAACAATTTACTTTATAATGAGATCCGAGCAGTTATATTTGATAGTTCCCTTTTTAGTTTTGCTGTATTTCTGTAGTTAGTTATATGTAGATGTGTAGGTTTAAAGTTTGGCATGTTTTACCGCACATTAGTTTTATGCCGGAAATATAATGTCTTTGTTTGTTTGACTCTATTATTATTATTGAACTCTCCAGTCAAGGGAGGTAAATTTAAATGTATCCAGTATAAGTATTTCAGTGAGAAATGACATTGTTTAGATTTTTATGATATAGAGTGAGTATTTTTAATATTGTTTTATCACTCTATGAGTCACCAGATGTTAGGTAGGTTAGGGCACGCTTATTTGTAATGCTTTGAGCAACTAACGATCATTTATTATTGTGCCTGGTGACTATTTATTGTACATTCTATTCGGAGACGTTAATAAAATACGTTGTATCGTTTTTAAATTCATCCACGCTTTCCTTTTCCATATTACAGCACACCCAAACTTACACTGGACCTGGTGGCTGAAAAGCAGAATCGTAATATCTTAGGGTCTCTCACAAGCCAGCGAGTTATATAAATTCTCAAATTAAGTGCGGTCACCCAAGAGGGCGACACGACAATACTGTAAACATATTTCATTTGGACGTGCATGTTAAGGAAAGTAGCTTCTGCTAAATCAAATACATGGACATCACCTAAAGTTTTATGTTTTATGAAAGTAAGTTTCAGAATGTAGTGATTCAAATCTACGTCAACTTCCTGAAAATTCGATCACGGTCAAATATCATACATGTCAAAACATACATTTACAGTACATAAAAGATACTTTCAATTGTGTGTCTTATCTAAAACTAATTATGTAGGTGTATGAACGTTTACCAAACAGTAGTCTCGTTATAAGATCTTGTATAACGAGATTAGCTGTCTTGTATACGTTCACTTAATAACACTGAAAAAAAATTAGTGGCGTTATTACAGATACAATACCAAATTGGAATATATCATATCCTAGGACTTTTTTTTTAGATTTACCACTGTTATGAAAGTATAAGTTTTGTAAAATGCATTAACACATATGCAGAGAGATATAATATGGCAGACATCGTTGCATCAATCAGGTTAATTACGTTTTCAACTATTACATCTTTTTGGTTTCCAGTATTCACCATATTTCAAACGTACGTGTTAGGATCATATTCCTCATAAAAATATTACAATCTAATTTGTATTTTAAATTAGAGTTTTTATCAAGGAGAAAAATACTACAATGGCGTAAAAATGCACTAGGGAAATCGAATACGAAATTACAACATTTTTATGTGGTTATTTACACTTTTTCTCCTCAATATTACAATGTTATGTTGGTATATCTTGATTTGATTGTTTTTTAAGATAATTTATCAAGCGGTCGAACAACCATAATGTTGCCAACATACCACAGTTGTCATCTTCTATGTGGACCAACAACTGCAACAGATGGACAAAGAGAAACATGTACTAATACTGAGGCCATTGGACCAAGTTCAAGCAGTAAAACAACAGTATGGTCTGTAGATCTTGGAGGAAATTACAATATTTACAGCATCGATATACTATTTAAAGACTATGCTGGATGGGGTAGGATTTAGATTTGAAAATTATTACATTCTGCCCTTCTCAAATCTTTTTATATTTTCCTTTTCAACATTATACCTAATCTTAATTGCAACAAAGAACTTCTTTCGTATAACTACTCATAACAACTAGAAACATTTTAGTCTCTAGCCGGTGAAACTATAGGTTTCCTCTGAACGTGTCTGTTCTGTCCGTCCATTAGTCTTGCTGTCCCTCTCTCTGTCAGTCCGTCAGTCCCACTTGCTACTCGGCACTTTTTGTCTACTAAGAGAAAGATACTAAGCTGGTTTTGGTATGTGAGTGTATCTTGATGAGGTACAGATCAAGTTGCATTTCGTTCAACATCAATAATTTTTTTTTTACAGAATAACGAACTTTCATTTTGTCAGGGTTTCTGCATGTTTTCATATCACTTGCAGGTATTGAGCTGCTTTTGATTTGTGACTTAAACTTAAGGAGTTAAAGATGATGTTTGCACTTTGTTCCGCTCTATAGATTTTTGACGGAAGAACGACAATTTAATTTTTTAAAAGAACCAGATTACACTTACATATACAGGGTGTTTCACAATACATTGTATATGTCACATATCTAAAGACAGATAGATAAATGACAACAAAAGATACATAAACATTTTATATATCATTTTAATCAGCATATATTCAAAACTATTTTTATTGAGTCAGAAGTATCCAACATTGTCCACTTTAGTTACTATGGCAACAAATCCTAAAATGTTATTGTCCAAGTGTTTTCCCAACATTGTTCTATTAAAATAGAAATTTCTGACCACTGGTTGGTAACTTTCACAGGATACTTGAGACTTTCTGGCTTCTTAGAACCTCCAAAGTGCATATCTATTTTTATTTAAAGTTGCATATAAATAAATGTGTCTTTTCAGAACTACCGGTATGTGTTAATTTGTGTCCATTTCTTTCGCTCTTCCATTCAGTCAATCTTGCAAACTTTAACCGGCTCTGAACACCAATTGGCATTTAATGCTGAAATCTTGTATGCAGACACACTAAACTCATATTTAAGATTTCTAAATACAATTTATACACTTAACGACATTGTTACAATCCATTTCCCTAAACTCAGATCTTTAACTTTCATGAGGTTTTCTCAGTGATTGACTTCAGTTTGATATTGTTCTCGTCTCTTCTTGGTTTTTTGGGGGGAGGGGGGAAAGCTTTATCTGTCTTTCATCTCTACATTATAATATTGTTCAAACTCTCTAATTATTCTTAATATATGAAAACTAGACAGCAATTACTGGTCTGGATAGTTTTCATCATCACACCCTGTACAATGTGCAATATTTAGGATATCATTCTTATAATAAAAGTTTACAACAAAATTTTGCTGCATGTTTATTCCATTTTGAGAACAGCTTAAATTGTGACGTCACTGATTATATCATCAGTTACTTCATGGTATATTATAATTTCATCAATACTTTGCAATATCATAATTTTAGATCAATATGCTTACCTATAGTGTTTTGGTATTTTTGGTATCATGCTCGATATTCAAATTATGCCCATTTAGATGTGTGACATATATTGTGAAACACCCTGTACATTTAGGAAACTAGTATTGCTAATGCAATATCCTAAGAATTCTTGATTAAAAACCCTCTCTACAATGCATACAAAAGGGATCTGATTCTAAAGGCTTTTTTGTGCAGTTCCGAAAAAAATCCCAAAAAAGAGAAATGTACAGTATATTAATCAAAACGTAAGTAATTCAATTACACTGTTACATTATTAAAGACATACGCAAGGTACCTTACCTACTGATCATTTTTCAAGATATTCAAAATTAAAATTTATAATTCCATTACAAGGTCTTAGACAAAAAAAAATCAACATGCGTTACCAGGGTTTTTAAAAAGATACAGTAACTGTAAAATCACATATTTTCGTGGGGTCAAATTTTTGTGGATTGAGGAAAATCTCTTGGTTCGTGGGGATTTGAATTTGTGGATAGAATGAAAGTGTACTTATGTATGTAATTTTTTAAAATTTCTCGGTGGACATGAATTCGTGGGTCTCGTCATACCTCGAAAATAACGAAAATTAAACGACGAAAAGTTCGAAATTTTATGATTTCGCAGTATCAAATTATGAAAAATTTGCATTATTCAAAGAAAAAATGTACAAAAATTACAAAACTTTTTAATCCCAGCTTTTTTTTTCATCATAAATTGTTATAGAAGAGATGTACAAATCGATATATAGACATTAAAAGTATTGCACACAGGTCCTTCAATTAGTGGAACTCTTCAACTCCAGGGAAGAACCCATTCAAGTTCGAACTACGTTGCGTATGACATTAAGGTAGGATTCTTCGCACACAAAACTGTACTTCTTGTATTTAAAATTTAATTAAATTTTCACAGAATCAAGAAGACAATACTACTAAGAGATGGTATCAGTTAGATACGTTTTGACTGTTTTATATTAGAGTCAAGGTCAGGTTAAGGTCATTACCTTTTTCTCTGGACATTAAGAATAGAACTGACTGCATCTATTTATGCGATAATGTCTTCTATTTCAAAAGACGAAATGTTTCTCTTTTTGCGTAAAAAAAATTTTACCATATAGGGTCTATAAGGTGATATTACCAAAATGACGCAAATAGTTTAACAATAATGAATTTTGGCTAATCTGAATTTTTTATATTTTTGTTAAATTTTTAGGATACACATGTATTTAAGTTATTTTTTATATGCTCCCTATATCTAATTTTTTGTTATTTTCACATATGGTAGAAAAGTCATATAGAGATACAAAATGATATAAAAACAAAAAGTTTTGACCGTTTAATAAGAGATTAAAAACACCTTCTTCGGATTATTGGCTTATATCTGTACTTAGATTGGAAGCTTTTAAAAGCTAACATAATTGTAGTCTGTTTGGAAAATCATATTTTATATGTTTTAAAGCTTTAGTCTTTTATTATTAATTTAGCTAACATTTGAAAAATTCTTTAAGCCTCTGATTTTGTAAAAATTATAACTAAATTAATTGTTCTAAAATAGTTTTAGAGGAAGAAAAGAAGATATTTTCATACGCCATAATTCCGCCAAAAATATAGTCCCTGCTAGTTTTCAAACACAATTTACCATTTCTATTTAAAGTTGTAAAATTGTGATGAGGGAAGAAAAATCTGATCTTTTAAATTTGTTTCACCTAAATATATAAGACATGTCAGGTAATATACATTGAATGTTTCATCTAGTCAGAAACCAGAGAAGAATCCTACCTTAAGGGCCAAGATAAATTAGTTGAAGAAGTGAAATGCATGTATTTTTTTCCATGGAAAAAATACACTCCTTTTCAATGTCTAAAAAACTCTTTGCACCGGTAGATAGGGTCCTTAAATACAATTTAATACATTGGGCTTTCTAAGGTATAAATTGTAGAACTTTCGCTTTCTACACTGTAATCGGGAGGCCCGAGTTCGAATTTCCTTTGCGGCGCCATGTCAAACATAAAATGTAAACAGGTAGTGACTGTTCCTTCGCCAAGCGCTCGGCATTACTAGTGTATGCCACGTTTCGTTCGGATATGACCTTCAGAACATAGTTCCCGTGTCACGGTAGGCGTTGGATCGATAAAGAATCGTCACTGCTCAATTGCCTTGAGCGTCGAGTATATGTTTAAATTTGAAACCCTTCACCGACAACGGTGTCGTCTCTATATGTCATTGATGAGTGAAAAACTCTCGAATGGGACGTTAAACAATTTACAATCAATCAATCTTAGTTTAAGAGCACGTTGAAAAAAAAATAAATCAAAAAAGCAAAATGATAGCTTTTCAAAGATATTTTCAAAACAGAAAAAACAAAGACGTTATATATAAAACTAAACGAAAATTAACATGCTATTTAAATATAGAGTGCAATACGATATGACTTTGTATTTCAGAAATGAGACAAAGAGGTCGTTTTGCCGGATTTTCTCTTTATATATCCAACACGCCTCAAAAAGAGGACGGCCATCTTTGTTTCAAGAACACACTTCCGTTACCTCCCTTGGATTTCCATACAACGTGTATAGGATATGGTCGTTACGTTATCTATTACAATGAAAGACTGGACGGTGAAATCTACCCTAAAGGATACCAGACTCAAATATATACACAGTTATGTGAAGTCGACGTAAAAGGTTTTACTACTTGTCTCTTTAGTTATCAAACCTGATAAGAGGTGGGAAAAACGTGTTCATTATTGTTCATGATATTCAAATGAACCTATTTGATCATTTGTAAAATAGCCACTGGAAAACGTTACAGATATTTGTAATAGCAGAAAAAAAGTTTATGTAGAAGAACGTACCCGGGTATTCCATATATGGTATGACTAGTTACATGTAAAAATAGCGGGCTTCATATTTAAGCGGCCTTGGCGAATACGAGGATGCAATTCATGAATACGCAAAAAATTCATTTATAAAAAGAATATACGGCACGAACATGTGTGCCTGTTATTCATGATTATATTCGCCAACAAGTCCATATCCATTGTTTGCGCTAAATTTTAAACTCTCCAAATAATGTATACTTTCATGCAGTATACAATTTACATGTATGCTTCTAAACGTTACATAATGGTATGTTACATTTATTTTAGAGTGTTAAAAAAATATATCAAAAAGGATCTCAGAGAAGGAATACAATCTAAAATTATTTTTAAGACTGTTAAAAATTTATAAAAAATTAATGAAATTGAAAGAAAGTAAGATAAGCACACAATGTTATGTTTTATCTCACCTGAGCCGAAGGCTCAAGTGAGATGTTCTGATCAATATTTTCTGTCGTTTTCGTTGTAGTTGTTGTTGTTGTTTTCATAAACTTTTCACATTTTCATCTTCTTCTCAAGAATCACTGAGCCAATTTCAACAAAATTGCCACAAAGTATCCTTGGGTGTAGGGGATTTCATTTTGTTCATTAGAAGGGCCACGCCCTCTTTCAAGGGGATTTAATTATGACTAAGCGAAAAATTAATGGCATCTCTTAAAAATATTCTTCTTAAGAACCACTGGGCCAGGAAAATTGAAATTCATGTGGAAGGGGTTAGGGCGGGGTCACAATGGCTGGCCAAAATTTTACATAGGAATGTATAGGGAAAATTTTTCAAAGCTTTCTTCTCATGAACCACTAAGCCATAGTTGGTGATATTTATATGGAAGTATCCTCAGGTGGTGTGGATTGAAATTTTTATTTCAAAACATGACCCCAAATGGTAGGGTGGGGCCACAATGGACGATCAAAGTTTAACATAAGAATATGTAGTTAAATCTTAAATCTTTCTTTCTTCAAAATGCTATTCCTACAGTTTTTGTCTGTTTTCAATTTAACTTGGCACACAAGTACACTAAGATACACAATTCTGTATATCGGTTTTTGATTTCGATGAACGGTGTTGAAAAAATTTTCAAAATATTTTTCTCAAGAACCACTGGGTGAGAAAAGCTGTAAATTATGTTGAAGCATCCTGGGGTAAGTGTAGAATCTACATTTTCCAAATTATAGGATTCTTTTGTACAGAATAGCATGGCCAAAGTTACTCAGATGAGCGATGAGACCCTTTCATAAAGTGTGCGATACATCATTTCTCGGTGAACAAAAATAATTTATATAGTCTATTGTAACGTTCTAACAAAGTACAAATAATAAATGATTGAGTTCGCTTAGGTTTCCTTCCTACGAATTACGTTATAATATATGCCCTGTTCACACGGAGAGTTTAATTCGAATTATACGTAAAGTTACTGCGAATTAGCTTCGCTTAGCGTTCACACGGAGAATTTAATGCAAATTAGTTTAATTCGAATTAGTTTATTGCGCATTAAATTACTTCGCATTAGCTCCATGTGAATCGAATTAAATTTTGAGGCATGCGGAATGGCAAAATTAGGTCCAATGCCAAATGTCCGTGGTCAGATTGAAGTATTTGTGCTATTTTTGAGTGAAAACCTAAGGAAAATTGTGTTAATCACTAGAATGTGACATTATGTCAAATGCATCTGCTCCTGCATAAGGTGACGTGATTTGCAAATGACGTCATAATAGCCTTACTGACGCCTGGCCGTAGAAGTAGAATTTTAATTCGCATTAGTTTACTTCGCATTAGCTGTCGTGTGAACGCAATTTAATTCGCATTAGTTTGATTCGCATTAGTTTACTTTGCATTAATTTACTGCGAATTAAACTCGTCGTGTGAACAGGGCAATAGAATCAAACAAACTTACAGTACCGACCAGACCCAACCTGACACCCAAGCAGTCCCAGAAAGCAGTCCCCGGGACTGCTTTGGGACCACTCTGGGACTGCTGTGGGACTGCTCTGGGACCGCTGTGGGACTGTTATGGGACTGTCCTGGGACTCTAAAAAGCAGTCCCAGCAGTCCCGGCTGTCCCTGGGACTGCTTTCTGGGACTGCTTTGTTCACTCATGTGTGAAAAAGGTTCTGAGTGACATGATAGCTCCGCCCCCTTGTGTATTCTGAATTTGTAGGCTCCCAGTTGTTTTGTTTACTTGCAGCAGAGGGGATTTTAAACTATTAAAAAAAAGCAAGGATTTCTTACAATCTTTTGAAATTAGTTAATTAATATTTTCAGAGACTGTAAATGTAGTTAGAATATTTTTTTAAACAGTTATTAAAAAAGAAAGTCAGGAGAAGATTTTTATCCCTAAAAAGAAACTACAGGTTTATGAGTAAAAATAACTACATGTAGGCCTATTTCATTATTTAATATAAAATTATGTGCACTCAAAATTTGCATTGGCACTATTTAGATAAAATCATTACAGTTAGATATAAGAATTTAATTGAAAAGCTTCATGTTTTACGAGTACCACACTAAAAAAAGTATTCCATGCAACCCTCAAATAAAGCCTAACAATTTATTAAATGACCATGAAATAAAATTATGCTACCATTCTTCCATACCTTAAACAATGTGAAACAATATGAATAATCATTGGAGAATTTATTAATAAATTACCAGTAGTTTTTAACTTATGAACAAGTTACCAAAAGAATACATTTATTTTATAAATAAATAGTTGAAAATACCGGGAATTGTGTTTTATTAAGGTCTTCCGTTTCCAACGGAAGACCTTCTACTGATTCTGATGATTAAGATTATTAAGGTCTTCTGTCTTCAGCGGAAGACCTTACTGTTATTCTTCGGTTTCTTTTCCACTATTTTTATTATTGTTTTTTTTTTCTTACCGATTTTGTGCACGCGATTTCTCGAAAACGGCTGGCTCGATTTTCATGAAACTTTCAGGACTGATAGAACATCAAACAAACTTTATATATATTTTTTTGTTTTGATGACGTCACTTCCGGTTTTGAGATTTCCGCGATTTAGTGATTTTCAGATGGTCAATTTGTCCGGCAGTTTTCTCAAAAATGCTTTTAGACAGAAACATAAGATTTTCATCGCTGATAGAGCAACATGTGCAGATGTGACATACACCTCTCTTTTCCTCCGGAAATGCAGCACGTCGGCGCTCGGTATGGCTAAAAAAAGTCCTATCGGGGACATAGAATTTTTTCACACTTTTTCGGCAATATCTTTTTACAAGTTAACATTTTGTAAAAACATATAGAATAAAAGTTGTAAAGAATTTCACGTTCTTTCAAATGATATTAACGATAAGGGGCTGGCCCCTATAATTAAGGGCTGAAAGGGCCGACAATTTTTCATTAATATCTCAAAAAGTATTAAGAATTTTTAATGCATCAAAGAAGCAAAGTTGTTCAAAATGTCGTGCTTAATCTACTAAAGTCGTCGAAATACGTCCGGCGTTGTCACTTCCGGTCAAACCGTAAGTGGTCAAAAATTGCATATTTTTGCTGTTCTTGACAGGTTTTTGGATATCATTTTTCACTGGAAGCCTAAATCTTAATTTTCCGTCCGTCGACGGTACTTCCGGTCAAACCGGAAGTTGCCAAAATGGCTTAATTTTGCAATAATTAACATAAATTTGGAGGATTAAGCCATTTTGGACTTCATTTCTCTTTTAATTTAGTTTGAAAGTTACTTCCGGTCAAACAGGGCGGAAGACCTACTCGTTGCTTTGCAACGAGCTCGGCTCTAGTTCTTATTATTCTTTTTTTTTCTTCCTAGACGCCAATTTTGAGGCCTCATAGCTCACTCATTTCTAAATGGATTTTGCTCAAATTTACGGACATTATAGACGGTAATAAACTCTATCAGAATGCTGTCTAAAATTTCAAAAAGTTACTTCCGGTTATGAGTTATTTTCCTTTAAATGAAAAATTATAGGCTTTCATTTCCAGACAAAGGCTCAGAGACCGCTAGAGCTGGAGCAGAAATTTTACTGGTTTTTTGATAACAGAAGGATTGAAGTTGTGCACATCGGTTTTTGTTTTTCGATTTCTGTATTCAAAATGGCGCTATATAGGGGTCAAAAATTAGAATGCCTAAAAGAGTGAAAATTTACACATGTTTTCTTTTTTATCTTGAAAACTAAACATATTTTGTTAAGACATGTTGAACAAAAGTTGTGCATAATTGCAAGGGCTTTCATATGATACTATTCAAAAGGGGCTGGCCCCTATAATTAGGGCTCTAAGAAAATGTTTTTTGTTCGATTATACCGGGGGTATTGCGTAATACGTAGTAGAAAGCAGGCCAGGTAAATAGGTAGCGTTTTTCATTTGGAAAGGAAATCAGACCTCTTCATGTGTATAACTTAAACAGACTCGCCATCAATTATATATCCTTTAGTATTTAATGTTAATTTTCTTCTCAAAAGGGCTTTATACATGCTTTACGGTTCACTATTAGGTTGTTTATAACAATTAGGCTTTCTTTTTTTATTTATTATTAATTAGTTTTATAGTGAACACGTCTTCATAAACAGAATATATTAAATCCATCTTTCTACGTTTATTATTATAACAATTATAAGTAACTTTAAACTTTATGCATCGAATACTTCACGATCATTAGTTGTATACATTTGGCTATCTCCATATTCGCCTACTAGATGTTTGTGAAAGTTATGTAACCCAACGCGCGAATCCCACGCTGTCGATCGAGGTCACTAGTGTACCAGCCACCTGTGGTCGCAAACAAAGCAAGTGTCTGTGATCGTGTTTAAAATCCCTTGTGTAGTGCAAAGACCT